GAAATACTTGCGCGGAAAGGTGTTCCCACGAAATATGTGAACATCCTTCGTGCTCTATACTCGAACACTACAGACCGCGTCAGGGTCTATGGTGTCCTATCGGATAGCTTTTCGACTACAAGTGGCGTTCGTCAGGGTTGTCCGATTTCCCCATTTTTGTTCAATTTCGTCGTGGATTCTATCATGTAGTGTTCCCTTGCGGAATCTCACGATGTAGGCGTTGAAGTGCTGCCTGGTGAATGGTTAGTTGATCTAAAATATGCAGACGATATCGTCTTGCTTTTCGACGATGTTGGGGCGGCCCAATCAACCCTAAATAGCCTGTCCAGAGTGGCCCATTATTTGGTATGTACTTCGCACCTTCAAAGCGTTGCTGCAGGACTACTAGCCACTTGATGACCCCTTGACGCTCGCTAACGAGGAACTCGAGGTTGTTGATCATTTCACTCATTTTGGCAGCTGCATCAGCAATGATGGGCGCATAGAAACTGACATCAGCTCACACATTGCAAAAGCCAGAGCTACCTTCTTGAATCTGCGGCATCATTGGCGACAGAAGGAAGTTTCCATCTGTCTGAAAGGCCGGGTATACAAGGCCACAGTGTGGGCCGTTCTGCTGTATGGTAGTGAGACTGGCCCCTTCGTCTGAAGATCTGAGGCGCCTTCAAGTCTTTGATCATCGTTGTCTGTGAAGCATTGCTGAAGTCGGATGGCACCAGCGTGTCCGCAACGATGATGTGCGTAGGCGAGTACTTGGTGGTGATAGTCATGCTAGCTCCCTAGAACAACAGATAACACTGAATAAGTTGCGTTGGCTAGGGCACGTGCTACGTATGCCTGGTCACCGCTTACCTAGGAGGGCTTTGTTTAGTCTGCCAGGTGTAGGGTGGCGCAAGGCTCTCGGTGGACAGAAGTTGACTTGGCAGCGGGAATTGACGTCACTGACGACCAAATTGGGTGCCGTTGGTCCGTCTTGCCTTCTGGGCTGGAGTCCACGTGACTCGCCTTGTGCTTGGTTCGAGACTTTGCAGGACATGGCTCATAGTAGACACCAGTGGCGCGTCTGCTGCCGTCTCCTAACCGGATTGCCTGTTTAAAGTGTGTTTGGTGCTGAGTTATCTGCAGGGTAACAGCTGATTATGACGCGGGTCAGTGAAAGCCGCAAGGAAGCTGTCTCGCCGATTCCGCCTTATATTTGCACGATAGCCAGCTGTTTGTGACGGTATGTTGTTAACACAAGGTGTAGGCGCCTTGACCCTGAAAGTTTGCTTGGGGCATTAAGGTTTTCAGGTAAGTCCCCCTTCTCTCCCTCTTCTTATTCTTCATTTCATAGGTCGTCATGGTTGTATGGCAGCTAAGCACCAGTTCAAATGGCTGATGTACTGCTGTTGATGATGACGTTGATGGAGACTTGCCTGCAAAACTCCAGCTCTATGCTCACTTTTCGATCCTTTTTCAGGTGTCACCAGCAACGCTTTCTCATTGCGCCTATCCGGTGACGATGCAGTTTCGAGAATCGGCCAAGCTGGTATTGGTATTGCCCTAAGTCCCCGGGCTGAAGCTGCTCTGGTTGACTGGATTCCGGTCAGTAGCCGGCTGTGTGCGGTCCGACTGGCTCTCTCGTTCAAAGCTTCGAAGTGGCGCAGGACTAACAGGTGTCTATTCATCATCGCTGCCCATGCACCTACAAACTCTAGCGATGATTCGGTTAAAGACAACTTCTATCGCCAATTAAACGAGCTCCTTCGCCACAGAAGAAGCTCGGACACTGTTGTGCTGGCTGGGGATCTGAACGCTCAAGTTGGCAAATTATCCACTGATGAACTGCGTCTGGGCGGCCAGCATGGTGTAGACTGCCGTAATGATAACGATGAGCGGTTACTTCATTTTGTGAAGATGCTCGCTTATTTCTTGCGAGCACTAATTTCCGACACAGCACCCACCGGAGGGTGACTTGGCGCCCACCAGCCTCGAACCAGCTATGGACGCAAATCGATCACATTGCGATAAGTTACCGATGGAGAGGCTGCGTCCAGAACTGTCACTCGATTTGGAGTACAGATGTGGACACCAACCATGCACTTGTATGTGCTGACATTCGGATGCGTTTTGGCGGACGCCCACGACGACGTTGTGAGCGCATTGACACCAGCCAATTGGCGAAACCAGCTGTTCTGATTGCCTATCAAAGTACGCTGTCGTGCGAGTTGACTAAGCGCTCACTGGATGCAGTTGAAGCTCACTGGTCTCATGTTCACCAGTCCTTATTAGCAGCAGGCAAATGCTCATGTGGTAAGTCTAATCTCCAACATGGACATTGGGTCTCTTCTCGGTCTCTGGAACTTATGGATGCTCGCCGGCATATTCCGGCTGGAAGCGAACACAGTGAAACTCGCAGAGCTCCGGGCAAAACTCCGTGCTAACCTGAAGAGAGCCCGCGAATGCTGGTAGTCTCTTCGAGCATCAGAGATGGAAATTGTCCTTTTCCTCGGGAACCATCGTAAGTTATTCCGTCTGATACAGGAAACGGGCAGCAGGAGACCTGGCATTAGTGAAACAATTTGTGACCAGAGTGGACAGCCTATCCACAACTTATCAAAACGCATGGAGTGTTGAAAGGCAATTTAATCGGTCGGAATTGTTAGATTTCTCGCCGGCCACTGACCGCCCCGCTCCCTGGGCTGTCCCTTTGGATTCATCCTCTCGCTCAGAAGTGAAACGTGAGATCGGACTGTTGGAGTTGCACAAAGCCACGGGACCAGATGATCTTCATCCAGCCCTCTTCAAATTCGGGGGACCTGCTCTTGTGGATGATTTATATGAGTTACTAGTGAAACTGTGGGAGCAGCAAACTGTTCCAACCGACTGAAGCCACTCAGTCATAGTCCCAATTTTCAAGGGAGGCTCACGATCGGAATGCGGCAACCATAGAGGAATCAGTCTGATTCCTCTATCGCCTCCAAATTGCTTGCCTCTGTTATCCTTCACAGACTGACTGGCACTCGTGAAAGCCATATTCATGAAGAGCAAGCCGGGTTTCGTCTAGGTCGTGGCTGCATTGACCACATCTTTACCTTGCGTCAGTTGTTGGAGCACCGTCACATATATTGGCGGCCCACCGTTTTCGTATTCCTCGATATCAAAGGTGCTTTCGATTCGGTGGATAGACATGTACTTTGGGACTGTCTACTCAGGAAAGGTGTACCTGAGAAATATGTGAATATTCTCTGAGCATTATATGCGCATAGCTCGAGCAGAGTGAGGGCTTACGGCAAGTTGTCGTCGCCCTTTAATATCTCCAGCGATGTGAGACAAGGATGCCCGCTGTCACCTTTCCTTTAACTTCGCTGTAGACGAAGTCATGGAACTCGCGTTCACAGGACACGACTTAGGTGTGGATCTGCTCCCAAGAGAACGACTTCTTGACTTAGAGTATGCTGACAATATTGCCCTAATCTGTGACAGCTCACAAACGTGTCAGGCGGCACTGGACAGATTAGCACTAGCTGTCCGTCACTTCGGGCTTTGTTTCGCACCATCGAAGCGCAAAGCGTTCCTCCAAGGTTGGTCTGGACCGCCTCCTACGCTGAACGTTGGTGGGGATCAGCTAGAAGTCGTTCAGAAATTCAACTACCTGGGAAGTTGTATCAGCGCCCGTGGGATTGAGGATGAGATCAGGAACCGTTTAGCAAAAGCTCGGGGCGCTTTTGCTAATTTTCGCCACTTATGGCGGCGGCGCGACATCACTCTTACCCTGAAGGGTAGAGTGTACAGTGCAGCAGTACGTTCGACCCTACTGTACGGTTGTGAAACTTGGCCCCTTAGATCAACGGATCTGAAGAGGCTAGTTACGTTCGACCACTGGTGCCTTAGTAATTTAGCTCACATCTGGTGGGAACACCGCATGAGTAACAAACGTGTTCGACGCCTTGTTTACGGCACGGGAAAAAGAAATGAACCGCTCAGCACCGTTACTTCACGCACCAGGCTCCGATGGCTCGGCCACGTGTTACGCATGCCAGCCCACCGACTCCCTCGACGTGCGTTGTTTGCGCACCGGGGGTGTGGATGGAAGAAGAGGAGAGGTGGCCAAGCGATGACTTGGTCGAGAGGAATGAAGACCCTCATTTCGAAGCTGGTCTCAGTTAGAGCGTCACGGATCCGTGGTTTGGGTCCGAAAGACGATGAAGACGTTTGGCTGGATACACCTGCTGACATGGCAAGGAGCCGACCTCAGTGGCGCTCGTGCTGTGTATTTCTTTGTCCCATCCCATCCGTCTTAGCCTCCTCCTCTAATCACGATCTCACTATTTAGCATTTTATAATTTTGCAAAGTAGATTATTCTTGTTCTGCTGTGTAGTAGTCAGCAGGTAGCTTACCGGAACGATGTCCACCCGTTACTGTTAGCTCAGCTGGCTTGAACCTGTTGCATTTTATACTCTTTTTTCTTTTGGGTATTGCGGCATAGTAGCTGAGGTGTTTCCCGCCTCTAGCTAACGTGTATAGTGTGTTCTTTGTGTGTGTCCTTTAACCATAACCTATGCCGTAGCTGCATTTTCCCCGGTCATTAATATCGTTAACACATCGGAATTCTGCTGACGAATCGTAATGTTGCACTGAGACGTTCGCCTTTTGACCGACCAGCTGTCCAGTAGAAGCATCTCGGTCACTCGTGCGAAGTGCGTTTGTTAAGAACTGACTGGTTACAATATTTCTTTCCATATTTAGCCATTTTCGCAACTTTATTTTCTATTCTTCTGCGTGTGACCTAAGCGCATGCGCAAACGGGACGTCAAACCGTCCGTTCACACGCACTTAAGGGTGATTTACCTACTTTTGTCGTCCCATTTTAATTATACCAACTGAAATTACATTACTTGCATGGCTTTCCAAATGGCTGATTGATGTGCAAAGTCGTATCTGCCCCTGATGCATCCACGAACCCCACTGAACCACGTAAGTAACTTGATCCTTTCTGTGAAAAATCTATTATTTTTAGGCTCTGCTCTGCTTCCGGTGGAAAACGATACTCTTGTTAAACCCTTTTGTGACGGCATGTTGTTTGCGGACCTCAGAATGACGCAGATCAAAACTTGTGAGGCGTTCGACGTGTGCCTTGAAGTGCCCAGAAATCCGCACACTCCCTTGCATTCTTCATCATATCGACTGAAAGTAATCAACGATGCTTGTCATTTCTGCTCCCAATAGACTGGGAAGGCAATGGTGCATTTCAGCCAGGAATTTGCTTCCTGCCGAAATTGCTAGCACATCATTTGTTGTGATATATATGTTAGATGGTGTTTACAGCTCCGGTCGGTGGCTAACATATTGCAGAATGTGTCCCCAACCTCATATGGTCGCCTACCTCGCCAACAGCCTTGTTGCGAAACTTAGTTGGCGTGGTGTGAAGGACAAATATCGCCTACCCGTTATGTCCTGTTCGCCTGGTTATCGATAAGTTGTGTGCATATGTAATAATTTCACTTACATATTTCATTTCGCGCTACAGTTATGCTGGATACACGAAGTCCAGCAATGGATCTGCCGAGTGGAAGCGCGATGGTGGTGCGTAAAGTGAAATAGCTACTATATTATCCGTGTATATGTAATATACTTTATGTAAAACCCGTATTTTACGCGAAAATGAGTACAGTAAATCGCCAAGCGTGTCGGCATTTAGCAGGGGAAAAGGGAATGGTATTGCGTTAAGGTAAGGGGAAATTTTTGAAAATCTGTAAGAGCGAGCGGGGTTATGCTGCTAATTTCTTTCCTTAGTGGCCAATATTTTGCCGAAAAATGAGTACAGTAAATTGCCAAGTGTGACGGCATTTAGCAGGGGAAAGAGGACGATGATATGTTAATGTAGGTGGAACTTAGGAAAACGTATAACAGACGGCGGCGTTATGCTGCCAAATATTTTTTGAGTGACTTAAAATCCTCCCTCCGGGCACTTTTTCGGAGTCATTTCGGTTGTCCATCGGACGCACTTCGCTCACTTATCGGTCACTCGTGCTTATTGGGCCTCCACTGTAATGATTAACTTGAATCCTTTAAATCAGTCGGTGCTGGCAATTTACATCCAGCAACCGTCAAACCACTAGCTGATATTCTTCAGCATCCTGTCTCGGAATTATTCAGTTTGTCGGTTCAGGAAGGTCAATCCTACCTATGTCTTGCTCAAGTGCCTACGGATCTTGTGATAGACAGATTTGCGAACAGTTGATGGAGCATAGCCTAATTATAGCGGAATAGCATGGCTCCCTTGGGATGAAGTCGCATCTCATTACTCTATTGTGCTTTTAGATGAAATTACTCATTATAACCATTATACACGCTAGCTAGAGATTGGAAACACCTCAGTTGTTGTGCCGCATTACTTACTCGATGTTATGCTAACATTATTTCAGTAGAGCTGTGTTATCTCCACTTCGATAAGGCTTACAATTCAGTGAATCATCGTTTCTTACTTGAGAAGTTGACATGGTTTAGATTGCATTCCAAGATGTTATCTCGGCTGACGGAATTTCCATGCGGAGAACATTTCGAGATAGAATTGGCAACGCACGTTCTCGTATTGACGTTGCCTACAGCGGTCTCCTCCAGAGCTCCGGTCTACTACTGTTATGTCTATAAACGCCCTGACTCCTCTCTATGAAGACCTTGGATACATCTTTGAAACTTGGCGTCCCGTAGCTTAATGGATCCTAGGCTTGTCTTGTAATCCGAAGGCGCAGGCTCTAGCCTGTGTACGGGGCCGGGAAATCATCGCAGTAGTGGTTGCGCGACAGCGAAACCCTGATTCAGAGTACAGCTGACGATTATTTTTTTGCGTGCCGGTGTACTGCTGATTCCGTTTTTGCAGATGACCTAAAGCTAACTAGCGGGGGTAGTCGAGCAACACTGACCAAAGGTATCATCAGCGTGGTTAACTGGTTGAACCAATAGCATTTGGCCTTGGATACCAATAAATGTCAGATGTTGACCTCTAGTGGCTACGGGGTTGTAGAACAGACTTTCTTGTGGTCTCTGTCATTGCGGAGCACTAATCAAGCACTCGATTTAGGCGTCACCATGGTTGACATTTTCAAGCCTTCGGCGCAGTGCTGTCACGCCACCACCAAAGAAATATTTCATCACAAGAAGGCTATGGGTAACATCAGGCCAGAAGTCTTCCTATCATTGTACGAGCAGTACTGTGTTCAGGATTTGGCGCCGTATCTTCTTACTGATGCTCTTTGCATGGAAAAGAAAAACTGCCATCGCACGGAGGCTGGACCTTACCCTGGTGCGATGATTTGCGTGCCTCAGAGATCCATTGAGCTATGCTGGGTGGTGCCTTCTTTTGCACATTCAGAGCCACTCATACCAGATTGGTCAATGATTAAAGGTCAGACAAACTCAGCCTCCTGGTCCGCCAGGTTGGGGGTTGGAATGAGGGTGGCTCCTTATTTCACAAAACGGGCTCTCTGTAGTCCAGTGCCAAAACCCGCTGTCTTGCGGTAAGGTTTTTGAACCAAAGGCTTTGGTTGAGAACCCTAATCGTTCTCCTGTCTAGGCCTGGGCAACCTGACAGTATTCTGCCCACGCAGTGCAATGAACCCATCATCAAACAATTTCTTGATGATCTGACCGTCGCAGAGGATAATAAACGGCGCCCTATCTTCTGCATCGAGCAGGGTGGACAGGGGTATGGATGCTACTCCTCAAGCCTTCCAATCTTCTTATCCCTCTTCTTGCGCTTCTCCATCCTTATCGTCCCGCTCCAACTTTACTTTTATCCCCCCAGTTTTCAACCATCCGATTCTTGGCCCTCCCCAACTTGCTTCAATAATCGCTTGTCTTCTAGTTTCAGATCACACACAGTCGCAGAGCGTCGCTCCATTCCAGTCCACAAGTCCATTTTCAACCAAGCGGACAACGTCAGCCCATCCGTTTCCCTTTGGAGTCCTCGCGTCTCGCTAAGACTGGCATGCCTCAACGTGCGCACTTTGCTACAGATTGGCCAACAGGCAACACTTGCCCGCACACTAGAGATTCTATCGATCGATATTTGCTATTTATCAGAAACTCGCCTGCATGGTTCGAGCTCCGTGGTTACTCTGCGATCCCCCACCTGTGACACTGGCGGCACATTCTCATTGCACCTGTCTGGCGATGATGCAGCTTCAAATGCCGGTCAAGCTGGCTTCGGCATTTATTTTGAGTCCCCGGGCTGAAGCTGCCCTGGTTGATTGGATCCCAGTAAACAGTAGGATGTGCGCCGTTAGGTTAGCTGGTTCGTTCTGTGCTGCGAAGTCGCGCGGGGACAAACGGTGCCTGTTTGTCATTGCGGTCTATGCCCCTACAACCTGTAGCACTGATTCGGTAAAAGATGATTTCTCTCAGCAACTTCACGAGCTCCTTCATTACAGAAGTAGCACGGATACTGTGGTGTTGACTGGCAATCTAAACGCCCAGGTTGGAAAATTGTCCTCTGATGAGCTTCATCTGGGCGGCCAACGTGGTGTAGGCTTCCGTAATGATAACGGTGAGCGATTGCTACATCTATGTGAAGATGCTCGCCTCTTTCTCACGAGCACTAACTTTCGACACAGCACCCGCAGATGTGTGACTTGGCGGCCACCAGCCTCTGGCCAGCCATGGACGCAAATCGATCTTATCGCGATCACTTATCGCTGGAGAGGCTGTGCCCAAAACTGTCGTTCGATTTGGAGCACGAGCGTGGACTCTGACCACGCACTTGTCTGCGCCAACCTCCTGGTGCGTTTCGGTGAAAGTCCGTAACGTCGATGTGAACAGATTGACACCATCCAGCTGGCGAAGCCAGATGTTCTGAATGTGTATCAAAGAGCGCTGACATCTGTGCTGAGTAAGCGCCCACTAAACACAGTTGAAGATCACTGGATGCATATTCACCAAACTTGACTACCAGCAGGCATGTTTTCATGTGGCAAATCAAATGGCCAAACTGGACATTGGGTCTCTACACAGTCTCTAGAACTTATGGATGCTCGCCGAGATATTCCAGCTGGAAACGAATACAATGAAGCTCGTAAAAAGCTTAGGGCAAAACTACGTGCTGGCCTGTAGAAAGACCGCGAAGCCTGGTGGTCTCATCGTGCCTCTGATATGGAAACAGCCGCTACCGTTGGTAATCCTCGTAAGGTATTCCGTCTGATACATGAAACAAGCAGCAGGAGACCTGGTGTTAGAGATACCATACGCAACGAGAGTGGGCGGCCGATCCACAGCCTATCAAAACGCTTGGAGCGTTAGGCTGAATACTTTGCAAGACAATTTAACCAACCTGAGTTATCGATTTCTTTTTCGGGCATTGAGCGCCGTTCTCCCTGGGCCGTCTACTTGGATCCGCCCTTACGCGCAGAAGTCGAACCTGAAATATGGCTGTTGAAATTGCATAAGGCCGCGAGACCAGATGATCTTCCTCCAGCCCTCTTCAATTTCGAGGGACCTGCTCTTATAGATGATTTACACGAGTTGCTAGTGAAACTTTGGGAGCAGGAGACTGTCCCGACTGTCCGCTCCACCATTGTCCCAATTTTCAAGGGAAACTACCGTTTGGAATGCGGCAATCATGGAGGAATCAGTCTGATTTCGATTGCCTCTAAATTGCTTGCCTCTGTCATTATCCACAGACTGACTGGCACTCATGAAAGCCAGGTTCGTGAAGATCAAGGCAGATTACGTCGAGGTCCGGGTTGCATCGACCGCATCTCCACCTTGCGTCAATTGTTGGAGCACCGCCATGTTTATTGGCGACCCAACGTTGTCGTGTTTCTTGACATAAAAGGTGTCTCCGACTCAGTCGATCGACATGCCCTATGGGACTGTCTATTCAGAAAAGGTGTGCCTGATAAATATGTAAACATTATCAAAGCGCTGTACGCGCATAGTTCGGGCAGAGTGACGGTTTATGGCAAACTGTCGCCACCCTTAAGTATCACCAGCGATGTGAGACAAGGATGCCCGCCGTCACCTTTCCTCTTTAACTTCGCTATTGATGAAGTCATGGAAACAGCGTTCGCTGGACACGACCTAGAAGGTGTGGAGCGACTTCTTGACTTAGAGTATGCGAACGATATTGCCCTAATCTGTGACAGCTCCCAAACATGCCAAGCAGCACTGAACCGGTTAGCACTGGCCATCAATCG